TTAGACATATTCAGGTGAGCTGAGTAACAGCCTTGAGACCAAATTCTTCTTCCTTGCTTTTAGTGTAGCATTTCATAGAACATAAATTGCTCTTTATTTATTTTTTGCTTACGGTAAAAATTCCAAGAAAATATAAAAGTCCTCTCCTTTGCCCTTGGATATCAACAGAAGTAATGGATGTAGAGAGTTTTGAGCATTAAGTTGCTGCATTTGTGTCATTTATTATAATGACCAGTAAAGCACAGCTATTGCTGATAAATCGAGTAGCAGTAGTTATTGAATCTAGAATATTCTACCTTAAGATTAAAGTTGCAGGGGGTGGGGAGAGCAAAGAGATCTAATGCTTAATGAGCGCATGCAATTTCTGCTGTCTTTGGAAGCTTTATTTTCCTTCTATAAAATGGTATAAAACACATGCCCAGGCATGCATATAAATACAAACACGCTAGTTTGTGAAAGAGACAAGCAGCATGGTTGCAGTAGACCTTATTTTGGTTTGAACATTATCCTTGGAACACTCTCACATGGTGCTGTCCCAGCTGACTTCCACCTGCCTTTCTTTGCACAATGGCTTTCTCTTGCTACGGAAGCCTGTTTTCCCCCCCTCAGCAGGCAGTTCATACAGGAGAATAAATGCCCTTCTCTCCCAGCAGCCCTCAACCAATGACTGACAGCTGGAGTCCTTACATCAGCTCCCTTAACCCTTGAGTAGGGTAACTCTGAGGCGTGTATCCTACACTGGCCTCCAGAGTCTCTTCAGTGGGAGAAAGCTCCAGTCACTCACAATGGGAGCTGGCTTTACTGGCTCCCATGTCTCACTTCCGCACTTGCCTACTGATGAGTGCTTCACCTCCAAAATAAACTACTTTCCTTCAAATCCTTGTTTCAGGATTGGCTTCTGCTTCTGGAAGAACCCAAACTAAGACATATTGCAAACATATGACTTTTAACTTAATAACCCTGGGAATATTTGCAACGTTAACTCAATCCTTCAGTCCAAATTACAAATAACTTTGCTTGTATAAATCTTTTTTATTGTGGCTTCATATGTAATTCCACGTACTTATAATGATCTACACATAAACTAGATGAGCTAAAAATGTAGTAATGAAATGTAGGTATATATCTACACTAAAATTACACCAGCCTATTTAAAATATTGAATTCACTTGGAGTTAATTTTTGTGTATGGGGGAAGATAGTGGTCTACCCTCATTCTTTTGCTTTTGGCTGTCTCCAGTTTTCCCAAGACCATTTAATGAAGAAACTTTCCTTTCTCCATTGTATATTTTTGGCTCCTTTGTCAAAAATTAGCTGTCCATTAATGCGTGGGTTTATTTCTGGGCTCTCAGTTCTGCTCCATTGATCTGTGTGTGGTTTTTCTGCCAATATTATGTTGTTTTGGTTACTACAGCTTTGTAGTATATTTTGAAATCAGGGAGTGTGATACCTCCAGCTTTGTTCTTTTTTCTCAGGGTCGCTTTGGCTATTCGGGTTCTTTTGTTGTTCCATATAAGTTTTAGGATTCTTTGTTCTTCCTGTGAAAAAATGTCATTGGGACTTTGCTAGGGATTGCACTGAATGTGTAGATTGCTTTAGGTAATACGGAAATTTTAACTATGTTAATTCTCCCAATCCATGAGCATGGAATATCTTTCCATTTCTTTGTGTCTTCTTTTATTTTGCTTTCAACAATGTCTTATAGTTTTCGGTATACAGGTCTTACACCATACACAAAACATAACTCAAAATGGATTAAAGACTTGAACGTAAGACTTAAAACACTTAAAAGAAAACACAGGCAGAATGCTCTTTCTCATCAGTTGTAGCAATATCTTTTTGGATATGTCTCCTCAGGCAAGAGAAACATAAGAAAAAATAAACAAATGGGACTACATCAGACTAAAAAGCTCCTGCAAGGCAAAAGAAACCATCAACAAGATGAAAGACAACCTAACAACTGGGAGAAGATATTTGCAAATCATATATCTGATAGGGGGTTAATATTCAAAACATACAAAGAACTGATACAACTTAACAATAAAAAAATGAACAACTCAGTTAAAAACTGGGTAGAGGATCTCAACAGACATTTTTCCAAAGAAGATATACAGATGGCCAATAGGCACATAAAAAGATGTTCACCATCATTAATTATAGGGAAATGCAAATCAAAACCACAATGAAACATCACCTCATGCCTGTCAGAATGGCCATTATTAAAAATACAGGAAATAACAAGTGTTGGAGAGGATGTGAAGAAAAGGGAACACTTGTACACTTCTGCTGGGAATGCAAACTGGAGCAGCTACTATGGAAAACAGTATGGAGATTTCTCAAAAAATTAAAAATAGAACTACCATGTGGTCCAGCTATCCCACTACTGGGTATTTATCCAAAGAACACAAGAACACTAATCTGAAAAGATATATGCACCTCTATGTTCATTGCAGCATTATTCAAAATAGCCAAGACTTGAAAACAACTTAAGTGTCCATCAATGGATGAAATGGATAAAGAAGATGTGGTATATATACAATGGAATTCTATTCAGCCATAAAAAAGATGAAATCTTGCCATTTGCAACAATGTGGATAAACCTTGAGGGTATTATACTAAGCAAAATAAGTGAGATGGAAAAAGACAAATACCATATGATTTCACTCATGTGGAAGATAAAACAACAACAACAAACAAACATATCGATACAGAGAACAGATTGGTGGTTACCAGAGGGGAGGGGAAGTTGGGGGAGGGCGAAAGAAGTAAAGGGGCACATTTGTGCTGTAACAGATGGCAACCAGACTTTTGGTGTATACAGACACGATGCGGTCTATACAGAACTCGAAATATAATGATGTACACCTGAAATTTATATAATGTTATAAACCAATGTTACCTCAATAAATAAATAAATAAAATACTAAATCACCATTAATATCTCCAGTGCAACAGTATTTTAATCATTGTGATGCTATCCTTGCAATGTTTCGAAAGAAGTCGCAAAATTGGTAGGAAGTGTTTGTGCTTGATATTTATTGAAACTCTGCTGATATCAGTCCATCAATCTGTTAATTTTCTAGCATCTATCCACAAGATAGGCGAGGCACAGTCAAAATATTTTCCTAATTTTTTTTCTTAACTTTAAAAAGAACAGGATTCTTGGAGTTTGTTGGTCACCAAATCCATCAACCATCTAGGAAAATGACTTCTTTCACGACTCAATCAGAGCCTCATCTAAAATTCAACGGAAATCTAAGACTTCAAGCTGCTGTCCCCACTCCTGTTTCCATGGGAATAGACTTCAGATCAGGAAAAAAAAATGGTTGGGGTTAGGAGCTTTCAAACAATCATTCAAAATCATGATGAGGTATTTAGAGCTTCTTTCTTAGGTGATTGTTCTGTAGCCTCTTCACCCCTTTTTGCCAGTCTGTTTCCATGGAAATATGACAAAATAGCTGTCAGGACTCCAGCAGAGATTATTAGCATTCTTGTGAATTTCAGCTTTGGCTGCAGTCTAGGCTGGGCAACGCCTTTTCTGTATCAATTTTACGTATTAACCTACACTGTTTCTACTCATCGTCACTTTTCTTAATAATTTTTACTTTCTTTGAAAATTCCCTTCACAAATTTATACCTATGATCAAGATCAAGTTGATAGTGACATCACTGAAAAAGGTTTCAGTTTTAAATTTTAATGTGTGAACCAGGACATATAGCTGTAGAGTGTCAGAAATTTTAGCAACCTGCAGAAGGAAACATTATTTAGTTACTGGACTCAATGTGTGTTAAATAGGTGTTCATAGATAATGCAACAAGGGTGGTATTTAAAATATTTAGCAGCTGGTACCAACTGATCAGAGAAGCTGGTTTGCACCAGCTGATAATCAGCCCTATTATATAATAACCAATAAGTAGTTAAACTAAAAGTAGCCCTATATAACATGGCTAGCATTATACCCAAATAAACTACCCAAGGTCACAGACTGAGCTCCTATAAAACTTACAAAAGAGCTTGCAAGAGAAACTGGGTAGAAATATATAGCAATCCATCTTTAAAAAACCCAAAATGCATATGCTTGCATCGTCTTTCATATGAAGGTCATTTGAAAATCAAAATCATTCTTATTACTGATGACATTATTCCAAAAGATTGAGAAAGAATATATATGTGTCTTTGATAGAAACCCTGGCAAGATATCTTGTGCTGAATGTGAAAAAATAACAGCATGCTACATATATAGTTTTATTCTGTCCTGCCTTCTGAAATTTACTGAACAGCTCAATTTACAATTTTTGCTAGAGGAAATCTTAAAGTTCTGATTGACCTCATAAAGTACTTTTATTCTTTAGAACTCACTTTTTATTCTATAGCTGAAGCTTTTTACCCATAAGCTCTTGTCTTTTGAACTGAATTGAAAAAAGTAAATCTCAATGGGTAATTATCTGGCTTAGGTAGGTTCCTAATTTAAATTTAAGGCTAACTTACTATAGAAGCCAATTTTGATTGATATTTTCACCTAAATAGATAGTAACAATAATAAAACAAAGCAGTCCAATTAATTTTCCAAGTCATCATCACTACTTCCAAACAAGGTTTGCCGTACTGTTAAACACACAGCCCCTGCGGGCAGGGTTTGTTCTACAGGCCAGATCTGACCTTCAGCTTGTTAGTGTAAAGAAAGTTTTACTGGAACCCAGTAACACTCATTTGTGTGTTTTGTTTGGTTTAGTTTTTTTTAATTGCCTATGACTGCTTACCTACTAAAAGGACAGAGTTGTGTCATTGCCACAGAGGCCACATTGCACAAAGAGGCTATTTATTATTTGGTCTTTTAAGCAACAGTTTGCTGACCCCTGCCCAAGCTTTTAATTATAAGATTATACCATTTCCAGACAAGAAATTTTGTAAGTAGTGGAGTCTTTTTTTTTTTTTTTTAACTCTATAAACAATCTATTAATAATGGGTAAAAATGTGGTTGGCTGGTGTCTACACTTACGTCCATGAATTCCACATTGGCTTTGGGACCAGTTGTTTCATTAAGAATCTTAATAGCCACAGGAATCTTCACCGTTTCTCCTTCAGGTACCCAAATACCCTGTGGGGAGAAAAAATTCACGTTAAATCTGTATTAAGACGTATACAACCTTTTCACCAGAAACAAAATTTGATTTAACCACTCAACCTATTAATTTAAAAAAAAAAATTTAGAAGTTCTATATTCTCTTATTCAATCAATAAACATTTTTCAAGCACCTGTTACATGTTACAAGTTACTCGGCAATTTTGTTGTCTGCCTTCATTATATGAAGATGAATGATATATGTATTCTGCTTTCAAGGTGTTTATACTATTATAAAATTGGATTTGTGTGCATGAAAAAGGCTTTGAATAGTGAAGAAAACACTGAAATAAGATGTAAAAATATTTGATTTGGATGACATCATCAACTTCTCAAGACTTTGAGAAGGGTGTTCCAATTTTTGAACTTCAGTCCTCTCACTTGTCATTTAGAAGATTGGGCGGAGTAACGTCAGAGGTTCTTTTCAGCTTTAATATTATATAGTAATTCTGCAACTAAAAAAATAAATAGATAAAAAAGCATGTTCTCATGTTCCTGAAGTTCAGATTGATTTAAGAATTCATTTTCTAAGGTAATTATTTAAGATTTACTTTTCAAAGGCAAATACTAGGGAGTATTCAGCACATACTAATTTGTCTATATTATTAAATATTATGTGTGTGTGTCAAGGATTTTTATTATATCTGAAGTAATATAAAATATTTATATTGGTCATTGCTAGTTCTCTCTTCCTGTATAAAGATAATATCTGAATAGGATCTATGCACTGGGAAAGTATAAAATTGGTAGAGTTTGAGTAAAGTACAACGTTAAGCTAAATAACAGCATTTCTGGGTAAACAGTTAACCATTTGAATAGGACAATGATTTTGATAAGACATACAGGGATGCATGGATTACACAAGAATGTTTTTATGAAGCATATTGTCTCAAATAAACCCAAAAGCAAATATGAGGTTATATAGAAAAAAGAAAACCTCAAATTTTAATTTATTAGCCCTGACATCAAAAAAGTCTTATAGGCCAGTTTTAACATTAAAATAAAAGGAAGAAAAACATAGTCTGTTATTCCTGAAGAGAATGTCTCCACTCCCGTCTTTCTTACCATTAGCTGGCTGTAGTCACGAAAAAAAGATCAATAAAGTTTTTCACTTTGTACTTCTATGTGATAACATGTATTTGTGTTACCCAAAGTCGTAATAATATAAGAGGAGACCTAAACACGCGAATTATGAAAAAGTCAAAATGATAAAGAAAAAAAAGACTTTAACCTTTAGAAGGTGAATTTAAGGGTTACATTCTTTTTAGAGTAAATAGGTAAATCTACGTGTCAAATGCAAAATAGTAAGCCAAGTTCCCTGTGATATAAAAATGTTTTGAATATTATTAATGCAGAAACGGGGAAAAAAAATAAAAGCCCAAGACCTATAGGCTACATTTTCTCACTGATCTATCTATAGTGGAGAACAGGCTCACCGTTGTTCAAAAAGTAACCACAGAGGGGGCTACATGATAAAGATATACATCAATATTAAAATAGCGCTAAAGTATAGTTTTGAAATATGAAAATAAATTCACTATGAATTAATTTGCACTGCTTTTTAAATAGGTATCATCATTGTTTTCTAGGCCCAACTAGACAAAAATTCAATGATGCTGATACCCAGGATATTGGGTCAAATCTTTTATGTTTAAACACAGCACATCTTCAACCAGGAGGAAAAATTAACCAAATAACTGGCTAAGCCAATTTGCATTTCTATGTTCAAGAATAATTATTTATATTTAAGACTGTATGTCCTTGTAAGAACTAATATGTTAATTAAATTTGAGGGTCAACCATACACACCATAGGTATAAAATTCAAACACACTTATGGAACTTTCAATAAACTTTCAGTACAAGTAATTTCAATAAAGGTATAACACTCATGAACAGGCAAATAATTGTTCTTAATAAAAATATTAATAAAGCTTTATTATTAAATGTCTAAATGGGCAATATTTTTCTCTGCTGAGGTCACCAGACTATATTTAGTCTTGAGTTATGTGGTATCCATGATTTTAAATAAAATTCAATTTCCGGACCATATTATCTTTAAAAATATAAGGGTAATTGTATGCTAGGAGCAATCCAAGATTGAGTAATCTTTAAAGTGGAAGTCTAGCATAACACAAATAGAGAAAGATAGGATAAGTTGTATTTCTTTGAACATACAAAGAATTTGCAGACTAGAAGCCATCAAGTCAGCCTAGAATAGTTTCTACTCAAATTAGGTGCTCAGTTAATAATTTTAAATTTAATTGAACAAAATATGCATACTAAGAGATTAAGAAACCTCTTCATTTTGAACTTTGAATAAAATAGTTTTATTTTAAAGAGATTAGATTATTTTTGGAACACTCAGGAGAGAAAATTCAGGTTTATATCCCAATTGTTAATATTTTGTGTTAAATAAATCTTTCTTTTAAATAGGAAAAAAAAACTTTTTTTTTTTTTTTGTGAGGAGACCAGCCCTGTGCTAACATCTGCCAATCCTCCTCTTCTGCTGCTGAGGAAGACTGGCCCTGGACTAACATCCGTGCCCATCTTCCTCCACCTTATATGGGACGCCGCCACAGCACGGCTTGACAAGCAGTGCGTCCGTGTGCGCCTGGCATCCGCACCGGCGAACCCCAGGCTGCCACAGTGGAGTGCGTGCACTTAACCTCTTGCACTACTGGGCCGGCCCCAAAACTAACATTTTAAAATGCAAAATTCCTAAGAGCCAATCTATTTTACCAGATATGTTTGTAAAAACGAAGGCTTGCGTATAGCTTTAGGAAATATATAAAACTGCCAAGGTAAATTTTGGGAACTGTTGTAATGGACGTTACAAGAAGGATTTAGCACTAACCCAGAAGAGTTTCTTATTCTTGTTATTTACCATTAGAAATAAATTTCACCACAATTAACCTTGGGCCTGGCCTCTGAATTGGCTTTGTAATTAAGCTAAATAAGTAAACACACAAATGTCATCATTTCAGCTTTCCCTTTCCAGAAATCTCTCTCTCATTGACAACCCATGATGTCACCCTCTCCTTCTATCTGACCTGAATTTCACAAATAAAGTCACTTTTTTAGTTTGCATATAATGGCGAGGACATCAAAAATGGAAATTATCTGTTAAACCACATATGTTACCAGAGAAGCAACGAGCGGTTTAGGAATTATCCTAACCTAATAATGCACCAGCACATTTGTGTGGATTCTAAAGAGATTGCCTAATAGGGTCCTGATGGGGAGACTTTTGGATAAAAGAACAGAAGAAAAGAAGAACAACAGATTATGGCTCATTGCCCAGGCATGTCTGGGATTTCAGAGAACACTGTGAAGGGGAAAGAAAAATGGGTTGGACCTGGGTATTTTGGATAAGGACAAAATTTGCTAAATGGGAGACGATATTGAAAGGGGCTCAGAAGTGCATCAAGAGAAAGAACCAGTTTTTTCCTTGTATAATGGCTTTGACCAGTGTTTCTTGCTTTTTTATGACTGCATCCATCCCAGCTCGCTCAAAAAAATTGATGAATTCATTTGTGCAGCAACTTCTCAATATTACAAGGTTTCTCTTCTCTCAATATTAAGAGGATGTTAGCTTGGCTAGAGCAATAACTCTGGCTGTGGTCCAAACCAAGTCTGAAACAAAACTTAGAACAATTGATGGTATGTGTTGTTTTTTACTTACTTTGTAAACAGTTCCAAAAGCACCCGAGCCAAGTACTTTTACTCTTTTGAGCTCAGTTTCTTTCAAAATACGAAGTTGAGCTTGATTGGGCGCTGTGCCACTGGGAGTTAAGGGTTCTACCAACTGCAAATCAAAAAGAATACAGGTTATATGACTTTCAACCCAACAATCGGTGCTTCCCTTTCTTTCTTGCTGTCTGGTTCACTTTCTCATACATACAAAAACACACAAGCCTACTTTTCCTTGACAAGCCATATTTTTGTAATATGAGTCACCCACCATTCCTTCAGACCCTATCCTTCCTCTTCTCATGTTCATTGCCTGAGTGAACACAAGGAACAAATGTTTGCCTACCTTGAGGCAGACTAGGCTAGGAGATTTTTTTTTCCACTTTTATAGGAATTTAGAGACTAATTAGCGGCTCTTAATTCTACTTTTTCAAGCCCCTTTCTTTTTGACATCCTCAGCCTTAGCTGAATCAGAGATTTTAGTTGCATCAGCATAACTATGAAAGTTTTCTTTCTCATTTTAGGGGATTTGAAGAAAAAAGAAATGAAATACTGCCTTCTTAGCACTTAAAATCTAGCGGAGAAACCAGAACAAACAGGTAAGAAGACAAAAAAATATGTTATCACAATGCCAAAACCCCAGTGTAAGTGAACATAAGTGAGGCCGTCTTGTTACACTAAATAACCCCTCCTTAGTTGAAATGTCTCTAGCACGTGATCATTATAAATTGCAGCACACTCACATGATTTTCTGGCCCTGATCCTGTGCACCTACCCCTGCTGAGGTACTCTGATAGCTCTGTTCTTAACAATTTTAATGAATTTTCCCAGGGAATAAGAAGGCCTCCAGAAAGAAAGAGCACCTGTAGAATATACATCATCATCGACAGAAGAAAAGAACAACAGACCCTGGAGTCCATCATCTACATTTCTGAACCCCCTCCTTACTGTTCATTTTTCCTATGTAACTACCTCAAAATTCTGTAATCCTTGAAGATGGGTTTTTGAGACATTAGTCACCTGTCTTCCAATTTGCCGGCTCACCTAATTAAACTTCGTTTCTTGATCTTTAACTGACTGTGATTAATTGGCTCAGATCGAGGTGAGCAGAGTGAGCCCATTGCTTGGTATCAAATTGACAGTGTTTCTAAAGCTTCGGCATTCGTGAGTCACCTGAGGTTCTTGTTAAAATGGAGATTCTGCCTCAGCAGGTCTGGAGCTGGAGTTGGGACTGAAATCCACATTTTTACAGAACTCCAGGGTGATGGCCTGTGTATGCTGATGGTCCTTGAACACATTTTAAGTAGCAAGTCCCTAGAGTACCTTCTAGATCAAAAATTCTAAAATTCTGTGACTTGATTCTAGATCCTAAGTGAATGCTATGGGATGCAAAGGAATAAAATAACCCCTGGGGAGTGAGCTTCCTTAGTTATGGCTTCCCAAAGGAGGTGCACTTTAAAATTGGTCTTGAGATGATAAAAACGGATTGACTTTGGGGAGGGCACCGCCACCATGAAGAATAGCTTGGACACAGCATCAGGGAGAAGGAGGAGGATACAGAGGAAAACAACAGGGAGAGGGACGGGTCTGAAGGGTGAGATGGGGGTGGGAACACCAGATAGCGAGGTGGGCTAAGTTTGGCCAAAACAGGTAAAATTAGGCTAATGATTTTAGATGTCATAGTTTAGATGTGACTCAGCCAGAGAGGATGAATAAGCTGGGGACAGACATGTGAATGTGTGCCAATCCCTTGTTTATGTGAGAAAAAAGAAAACCTAGACATGAAAGAAACTCTGGGTACCAATGTCTATGTCCTATGTTAAAATTTTAGGTTTTTATCTATGCTTGAGGAAAAAGGCAAGTGAGAGAAACAGGAGTTTCTTTTTTAAAGTTAAATAAAGGAACTAAACTTTAAACACAGACAAATAGCTTGTTCTTCTCTGCATAAGGAGATAATTACAGGCAACTCCTACTCAGATTGTCTTGAAAACCACCACAGTATTTCAGGGTGTCTGTTTACGAGGCTAGGTGCACCGCGGCCCTCCAGCTTGGTTATCATCATCACGCTTCTGTGAACGTCACGGTCTACTTAATTAGCTGAACAGAGTCTTAAGTACAGGTAAATGTAGCGACAGCAAGAATTTGGAGAAGAAGATGATAAAAATTATCAAAAAACTTAGGCTATTTTCTAACAGTTGGAATGAATATACTTCTATTTTATTTTCAAATTTATATTGTAAAAATACATGTAACTACATTCAAGTCACATAAATGAAATCTCAGAAAGAATCACAAAATTCTTTGTGAAATCTGAAAAAGAATGTCCTGCAGAGAATCCCTTTCATTGGAATCCAACTCTGCTGTGAAGGATTTGTTTGGTAGATTTTGATATACATACTACATGTATAATAAGGAACTTTGATGAATTATTTTTTAAAATCACATACAAAAGTCATATAAAAATCACATGGAAGATTAGGGACTGTATTTCAGCACTTAGGGCTAGATACACTTAAAATATGTATTGTATACATGCTCTGGCGTACACCATGCCATAACTGTATATTTTGAAAACTTCACAATTCTGCCTGAGATGTTTAGTCTCCTGCAATTTTCTTAGGTACAATTTAAAAATTTTTACAAACACATTTTTCCAGGAGTTTGAGTATTATACCTTGAAAAGAAGCACAGTTTCATTTTTCGAGCCAGTATGGGGGAAAGAGGATTGGGTTTAGATTTCTGCGTTTGTATACCAGTACTGTCACTCTCAGGCTTAGAAAGCAATTTACCCCTCCTGGCCCCTCATCTCACATCTATGCAATAGGTATAGCAGTAATTACCTCAGAAGATTGTTAAAGGATGAAACAATATAACTTAGGTGGAAAACTTTGGAATATTGCCCGCCATATTATAGGCACTCAATCTGTCACCCTTCAAGGGATAGGATCATGTCTCATTAATGCATTTTTTCATCACAGCATCTAGCAAAGCATCAAACTTACAGTGTATCTCAATAAGTGTATTAAAAAAATATATTTTCTACTTTTTATGCATGTAACTGAAGAAAGACAATCTGGAGCAAAATGATTTGAGGAAAGCATATCAGCTTTAAGTACATTCTAACAATATATCATGCTTTAACAAATTTTTCACATCTGAGGCAGATTTCTAGCTTCAGTATTTAAGAATTTGAGTTGATCCTCTTAAGAATTCTTCTTCTATTTAGATGGTAGAAAATCATAGTTATTTACTTCAACTGAGAGAAAGATGGGAATTCTACAATTATCTAATTTAGTGCTAAGCAATAACTTTTTATAAAAAATAGAATCTGCTTATAAAACCAATCAGTATGTGTTTATTTAGTAATGAAATGCCAATTTCAAGGACATTCTTAGAAAGCACCGTATTAACAAAAAAAAACCAAAACAACTGTTTTCATAGCAATGAGCCATTCCTGCACGTAGTGGAGACAGAATTTCTCTTCTATTTATTCAGTCATCTAGCTGTCCACTGCTGTTCCAAGCCTTTGACTCCTCTCCAACTCTAGTTTACTTCACTTTTCAGAATTCTCTCACTGACTGCCCCAAGCTGCCCATGAGGGAGATTCTGTCTCCAGCATCCTAGCTAAACTGAAAATATGCACAGCACGTGCACTGTGTCCCAACTTTTATTCATATGTGCAGGGTTGAAAGTGATCAAGTTGATCTTCCATAAATGTCTAGCTAAAGTAGGAATTAATACTATGTCTTCCCATGAATATAATTGACTACCTATTTTATGCTGGAACATGTCCATTGATGATACAGTCCATTCTAATGTCAGATAACTCCAATTCTTAGAAAGTATTTTCCTATATAGAACTGCAAAGTAGCTTCCTAAAACTGTCACATGATTCTTCTATCTAGTTTTAACTTCTGGAGGAAAAGAGCTAAAATTTAGTTCATTATCAGTGTGCAAAATTTATGAATGAATATTCCCATCCCCGACAATGTTAAGAGGAAAAGTCCAACTGTCATGTCAATGAGGAGGAAAACAAATCTAGGGAAAACTCAGAAGAGAATTGCTCTGAGTTGTTCAGACAGGCACGAATGTGTGTAGGTTGAGAAAGAGGTAAGATGCGAATTGAGAAGGATCTGGTAATGCATAGTCTTTTGTAATTGTTTTTGCCCTGTAACCAGTACAAGCGAAAACGATCAGCTTGCGTGCTAGAGAACTCAGTGTGGCAATATAAAAGAAATTATAATAATTTATGGGTAATTTACATATTCACAATAACTAACATGCATAATATTAAATGCATTTCATAAACTGTGTGGTAAGGTCTCCCTGATTACAACATGGAGCTTTATCCTGTAGCTGTGTTTCACTGTTGGTATAATGAGATCATTGGCTACCAATTTAATGGCCCTAATTAAAGCATAAATTGCTTGCCTATCTGGCTTTATTTTGAAACAGAAAAATTCTGTCTCTTTCTAACATTTTTCTAGTTCTGTTACTGAGATATCCTCTACCCAGATATTTTCTAGTTCTGCGGCTACTGAGAAATCCTAGAGCTTGCTAATGGGACCCCTCCCCCAAAAGAGGGGGAGATCTGTGCCCCCTCTGATCTGTCTCTTCCCCAGTACTATCATTTCCTCGACCTTGCTATCTACCCTCTTTAAGCCATGAAACTGCCTTGACTACTTTTACTATATACTCTGATTTTTCATCAACTTTGTATAGCACACCGTGAAATACAAACCCTCAGCGGGAAATGGAACAGAACTTTCACCTGGATTAAGAAACTGAGTATCATCTAAAGCTTTTAAACCTAATGAAATCCCTAAACATGAAGAGAAGAAACAAATCTCACCTCTGTTTCCAGGAATCTTCTTAAGGCTCTTTTCTTTTTGATGCTCTTCCTTCTAACGTAAACTGCAAATGTTAGAGCCACGATGACCATGATGAAGAGCCCGCCGATGACTCCGGCTGCAATTAGCGGAGTCCTACCAACCAGAATGGGATAAAGAACAAGTGTGAAGGGAGAAAAGACGGAGGAAGACAAAGAGCAGTGGTACGTTATCCACACATCACAAATCTAGTCAGCTAGAAGTAACGCAAAGAAAAACGCATTAGAGCTGGAACAAAACTTTTCTCACGGTAAAAACGGTAGTTGTCTTTGTTTTGTTTTGGATTTTAATAATAAAACATGCACATTCAACTAATCTTTGGAGATGAGCAGCCACAACATGCCGTTTGATGGAAAAATGTAAAACTTGGTAACGCAGTGAAAAACATGTCAAAATGTTGATACAGGAGAATTTTAAATTGTGTTAATTTTACTTTTATCTATAAATAAATGGAAAATACACTTTAATTATATTGTTGTGGTGTATAATATTATTTTTAACATTTTCTCTAAAGCAGGCTATATCAACAGTGGCACTATTGACATTTTGGGCTTGATGTAGAGGATTGTCCTACGCATTTTAGAAAGTTTAGCAGCATCCTCGGCCTCCATGCACTAGGTGCCAGTAGCACCTCCATCCTCCAGTCATTACAGTGTTTCTAGACATTGCCAAGTGTTTGCCAAAATCACCCCCAGTTGAGAACCACTGCTCCAAAGCAACAGTGAGCTGTCTGGAGACATATGAACCCCACACCTCCGAAGTACGAGAGTACCAACAAGAGAAACGTATTGACACGGGTGCTATTTTAGACTCTGACAAGGGCAAATTTGACAGAATAAGGGGCAGGAGAAAGATTAAGAATTAGTTCAGACAGGTTTTCAGAGTTATGATAACAGGAGTAAATATTATCAAAACTGTGTCTAAGCATCATATACTCATAGAGAGGGTCTACGCATTAAGTACCAAATAAAAAGGTGTAAATAGTACCAAAAAGGGATTAGGAAGAGACTGACTGAAGATTTTTATTCTTAAAATGTTTCTCTAATATTTTGCTGGCTAAGATATAATTTTGAAACTGATCACTTATTGTTTTCCAAGATAAATTTTTTCTTTGCTTGAAAAGTAATATTTATGGTCTTAACTTCTTGTTTTAGAGTAGAGTAGTACCTATGAGCTTTCTGTGGTCTGACCCCTGAAATATATTAATTTTGTATGCCACGGCAAATAGCCTGGAGTAAAACAGATAGGCATTACTTAATACATATTTGACCATGAAGCCATAATAGATATCAAAACTAAAAAAGAATTCCCTGAATGTTTATGCTTTCCATAGTAAAGTATTTTATACCTTACATTCCTATGTTCTGAAGAATCTACTCTATAGAGCTACATTCTTTAGAAAAAAAATTACTTGCTCTTGCAAAATAAACTTTCGCTCAAAGGCAGATCAGAAATAATGACGGCAGATGATCCTAAATAAATTTTTAAAATTTTAAAGAGCTCTTGCAAAAAATCTGTGTAACTTCTATAAATGAAGTCATGTCTTTTAAACATTATGATTGTTACATTGTCATATAAAAGTGCAGAAAAACCTTATAAAGCAGTTCACCTAAAATTTTTTTCCTGACAGCTAAAAGCACTATAGCATACTGAAATGTTGTTGTAATTCAACTAGATTTTCCTAAATGGAATTTTCTAAAGATATAAAAATCTATGCTGAGAAAATTAAAGTATAGTATGGACACACACTCATCATTGTGATGTATTTTTGTGTGTTTAAGATCACATTTTTGAGCGTACCAGTTAAATATGTATTTCAGAAAACATTTTAAGTTTTCAACGCAAGGCATAATTTTCAACTCAATTCAGCCTAAAATTTCCTTGAAAAGCCACTACTATCAAAAGGCTTGTATTTTTGTTTCCTCAGCCCAATTTTTTATTGCAAAGGATTTACGTATGATTGAGAACTGTGTCCAACATTTTGTTAATTGTGGATTTGAACCAAACTCTAAACTGTCTCTGCTTATCTATTTTGCAAAAGAATAAGTGGTATGTATTTATGAAAATATATATCACTTTTGCTGTAAATTAAAAGAAAATGCTATATTTTGTGTGGGAGGGGGGTGTTTATTCTTTTTATTTTAAGAAGGATCACTTCCAATGTAACAAAATAAGACCCCTGTCTCTATTCTTTTCATCTAATTCAAGCAGATATCCATGTCATGTCATTACTACTTAGGTTGGTCATGGTAATGAAAAGAAAACATTCAAAAACTCAATAGACAGTAATTTCTACATTTTTCTAGTGTGCATTTACTTTCGATATTTCCCACAGCACTTCCTTGGTTGATTTGTATTTCTTGACTTTTTTTCTTCCCATACCACTCTGCAGAAATGGTAGAGGTACAAACAACCTGAAGAAGTAAAGAGCCAGAGTTTCTGCACCTAAAAATCACACATAAATATTTCGTTGGACATTTCAAGAGGCCAAATTCTTCATATTTCAGCAGAATTTACTCTTGGAAACAAACCATCAACTATGAGGAAGCAACCAGTCAAATCGATAAGGGGGAGCATTCTAGAAGACAACTTGAATGTTCTCTTTAATTAGTGAAGATCATGAAAAACGATAGTGGCCTAGATTAAAAAGACTTAATAGTCATAACAACCAGATGTGAAATGCAGTCCTGGATTGGATCCTAGTCTGGACAAACCAGCTGTACAGGTATTTTTGAGATAACTTAAGAAGTTTGAATATGGGTTAGGTAGTAGACGAGATGAAAATTTACTGCCATGGAAAGACATGGATTAGAAATTGAAATGATTGGGTTATGAAAGACTAGGCTTTCAATGAGGGAAAAGCTCACACACGTGTGTGCATGTGTGTAAAAAATCTGCAGTAATATACAATAAGACACTAAACAGTAGTTGTTTCTGGATAGGATGACTATGGTGCTCTTATTTTTGTATTTTTACCAATGGGGCATTTTCTACAATGTATTTATTTTTCTTTTGAAATAAAAGTTTATTAAATCTATGAAAAAACAAGTAATTGTCTAAAATTTTAGTTTTATAATAATAGCCTTGTTTTCTTTTGGTTTTTTGAAAGTTTACTTCGTATTTTTTCAATTAAGATTTCATTTTGCAGTTCTCTGTCCACTGTTACAATCTAAATACTTCTGCATATATTTTCTATTCATTATAGTTTAATGTGTCTGAGAGATTTAATTACCACTGTGTTTCTTACAGTTAATGTTACGTTTCATAAAACCAAGCTAAATTGAAAAGTTAATACTACTTCCATATTTCCTACTCCCCCCAATTTTGATAATGTTTGTAGGTGTAGAATATCTGCCCACTTTTTCCTGATTGTTAATGCTTCACTTTTTATGAGGACCCTTTGGATAAAGAGGATGTAGTTGCTTAAGTTGCTTCTTTAAATTGCTGTATATCCAGCCTAAGCCTAACACTGGCTATTGCCAACTAAGCTATATTTCTGAAAGACAGTGTTTCCTCTTACATGTAAGTCAGAGGAACATCTAAGAGGCTGAAACATGACACAAGTAATGAGACCATAAGGGTCAAACACAAAGGAACCTAGAATACTCTATAATCTCTGATCTGTAACAGGAGTATTGTTTGCTTGTTGTCATTTGTCTGTACATTAAAAATGATTGGGAAGCCAAAGGTATAAAAGATAAGAACACCTCAATTGCCAAGTCCAAGCTTAGACTAAAAGGATGCAATCAATTAATAATTTATTCTGTAATTTGAAAATAGTATAATGAAACTGATATCCTCCCACTACTCATAGAAACTACTATAATAAGGATCTTGAATCACAAATGAACTTGGCTAATTTACTTAAAAGCATATAATTTGGTTTTCACAATTTCATTTAGAGGTTCAGAGATAATGCAATGTATTATATTCTATTGCCTTGAATGCAATTACTTGTCCAAAACAGTTATATGTAAAAGTGTACTGTCTCCCAAAACTATATTACTTATATAATAAGATACATTTTTATCATTCATTGTTATATTTGAACCATGCTATTCCTCACTGGGGAACATAAAATGTGAGAGACTACATGGAACCTGATTTTATAAACATCCAAATATTTTCCATCATTGATCTGCTTCCTTCCATATATTAGATCACAAACAAAATGTAGTAAAGTCAATATAATTTATAATTAAAACTCAAGGTTCTAAAACTATTCTGTTATACCATTTTCCATTTAACGTCAAGGGCAGGCTATCCTACTAAAAATGTACAGTGCTACTTTCTTTAAAATTGTAAACTTGGTAAAACTGGTTTTTTGACGAATATAGTCATTGCAAAGAATGCTAAATCTATGAGATCCTTTTAGAGGTATTTCACCAAATAAAAGGATTTTAAATTTATAGTATAGGTATATTTTTCTTCATTTCTTGAATACAGAATAGTTTTCAATTAAAGAAAAAGGAAGCAACCTGAAACCTATAACATACTGATGGTATAATTTGCATCTATGAGTATTGACGTTAAATCAGAGAGCTCCACTTTTAGAAACTTCTAAGTTAAACAATTTGAAGACAAGTCTTCAGGATTCGTTGGCTCAGACTGAGAGCTGCTTCACTGTTTATCTATAGGCACTAAAGGTTAAAGTGAATGTTTCTTTTTAATTTACACAGGACATAAAAACAAACAAAAACAACAGGCTAGTCAGATAATTTTAACAGGGCATGTGTGTAAAACAAACTTTAAGTAACATGGTAAAATAGTGTCTCTAACATTACTAGTTTGTGTTTACCTTTCAAATCTGCATGATTTTTCCTTGTAGGAGCATACTGGGCTGGCAAGATGTTTTGGAGTCAGACCAACGTGAATTTTAATCATGTGTCTGCCTCTAACTAGTTGTGAGTGTGGTGCCTCTTTCAAATAACCCAGCATAAATACAGATAAAGACCTTCTTCACCTAAGGTAATAAAAAATAAACATAGCAGGGAACTACCTAGTCTTTCTTAAATTTCTGAGATCTGATAAATTTGCATCTAGGTCCTGCCTAGTTACTATCATTAAATCAGACACCTTTAAGCACTGAAGAATCGTATGCCTCGCTTTGCCCAGGACAGTCTCAGTTTGCTCCAGTGTGAGTATCAGTAGTACCCCATTCACTCTCAAAAGCCCCCTTATGTGAGCAATAAATCAAATGTTTATCCTACCGTTAGCCCAATTTAGAGAATCTAAGATACCTCGAGCTAACAAGTCTTTACATATAACGCACACACACATGTACCTTCATACAGGAGTATCTTAATATTAGCAAATTTTACCTGTTGGGAAGGCAAATTAATTACTGCCTGTGATAAACTTATAGTAACTTAAACAGATGTTTCATAAATTAGTAAGATGTGATGATTCCCTTAATCTTATATTGTCTTCTAAAAATATAATGAGATCACAGTGGCTATCATTCTGTACTCTGTCTTCCTTCTGAAAACCTTACAGTGGCCGTCAGACAAAAGCCTGAGACTATCATGAAGCAGAGGCTAAATATACCCTCAGCAATGTACTGCATGGTTCCTAATTTGCTCTTGCTACAAGAAAAATACAGTTCATCAAAAAAACATGATGACTCTTTTTTGAAAGAAAATTCTTAGAGTCAGTTGCTGACTGAGATAAGGAATACAATTTTGGAACTAAGAACATTTTCAATATTTTATTAATTATTTATTAAGCAGTTTAAACATAGCAAAAGTTCTGCTCAAATAAGAGGAACACCAGATTTGACTGCCATCAGGTACTCATGGGTTTTATCGCACAGATATTGTCACTAACAATTCGCTTCATGTTCAGTGGGAAATAATCTGATAGAAATGAAAATGTCAAAGACTTTCTATCTCAATATAGAAAACATTCCCATTCATAGAGGTAAATAGAGATTTACTTGGTCCCTTAAATTCAAATAATTTAAATAGATTGACTATAGACTTTCCATTCTAACAATATTTGTATATATATACGTTTTTTAACTTTTATTTATTATTTATTTTTCCCCCAAAGCCCCAGCAGATAGTTGTATGTCATAGCTGCACATCCTTCTAGCTGCTGTATGTGGGACGCGGCCTCAGCACGGCCAGAGAAGCAGTGCATTGGTGCGTGCCCGGGATCCGAACCTGGGCCGCCAGCAGCACAGCACGTGCACTTAACCGCTAAGCCACGGGGCCGGTCCTATTTGTATATTTTTAATTAGAAATTTCTTTCTGAATACATTGTATATTTTCACAATAACTATGCAATGTAGATCCTATAACTGTCATGTTAAATACAAGGAAACAGACTCTGAGAAAAGTTAAGAAACCTAAATAAGGTTAAACATAAATAGTAATGCTAACATTTTACATGGAATCTCATTTACATGGAATCTCAAATCCATTAATTTTTCAGCTACATTATGTTGTCTTTCCTTCTAAAGATGATTCAT